GACCTGAAGTTCGTCAAGGTTCGCATGCGTACCACCAAGATCCCCCAGATTGGTGACAAGTTCGCCTCTCGTCACGGTCAGAAGGGTACCATTGGTATCACCTACCGACAGGAGGACATGCCTTTTACTCGGGAAGGTGTCGTTCCCGATTTGATTATTAACCCCCACGCCATTCCGTCCCGTATGACCATTGCCCATTTGATCGAATGTCAGCTCAGCAAGGTTTCCGCTCTTCGTGGATTCGAGGGTGATGCTACTCCTTTCACTGATGTTACTGTCGACTCTGTCTCCCGCCTGTTGCGTGAGCACGGCTACCAGTCGCGTGGTTTCGAGGTCATGTTTAACGGCCACACTGGTCGCAAGATGGTGGCGCAAGTGTTCCTGGGTCCCACATACTACCAGCGTCTGCGTCACATGGTCGACGACAAGATCCACGCTCGTGCTCGTGGTCCTACTCAGATTCTGACTCGCCAGCCTGTGGAAGGTCGTGCCCGTGACGGTGGTCTCCGTTTCGGAGAGATGGAACGTGATTGTATGATCGCCCATGGTGCTAGTGCTTTCCTGAAGGAGCGTCTCTTTGACGTTTCTGATCCGTTCCGTGTTCATATTTGCGACGATTGTGGCCTGATGACACCAGTTGCGTAAGTTCAACCCCTACTTTGTTGGCTTTGCGTTGCACAGAAAACTAACCGTCTCTATAGGAAACTGAAGAAGGGCCTTTTCGAGTGTCGTCTTTGCAACAACAAGCACCGTATCTCGCAAGTCCATATCCCCTACGCCGCCAAGCTGTTGTTCCAAGAGCTGGCCTCCATGAACATTGCCGCTCGGATGTTCACCGATCGCTCTGGGGTTTCGGTGCGTTGATTTACGGTTGCTCTCTTCACATTTGTACTTTAATGATCTTGCTGGAAAAATGCGCATCTGCTTGGCCTGTTTCGCGGCGTCTCGGAGGATCGTTGGCCATCGCATTACAATAACCGGTCCTACATACTTGAATTGAAACACTTTTTGTGTGATTTTTGTCACTGCTCCTAGTTCTGTAGGTAGAGTTGATGCCCCAGCATGTTCAGCACAGCTATACCCATTTCTGTTGTAATATGTCTAACCCTCACTTAACTATCTTGTCTCCTGTGGCCATACATTCGAATCAACTCGGATATCTAGTCGGGACTCGTAGTTACAATTACAAGAATCCTCAATCTACAATACACATGGACGCAGGTCATATCTCATTATTCATTGGTATCTCAGAGTAAGACCTAAACCAAAGCATGAACAAGTCCATGACATCGGAAGGATGTTCTTCGGTTAACGAGATACCGTTTTTCATCTTGGTCAGACCTCCTTGGATCCAGGAGGCTCAGGACAGATCTTGTCGTCTTATGGCTTGTGCTGGTCAGATCGGAACTTGACCGGTTCAAGATAAGCTTGTCGGAGTGAGTCCACGAGGCTGGATTTTGATGATCCAGGGTGGATGTTGTCTGCATCGAAATAACTGTGTGTTGTAATCGATGGCTTCTTCTTCTTCTTCTGCTTCTTCCCCTTCTTTCTCCTCCCCTCTCACCACACAATCCTCATCCCCGCCCAACCGCAGTGCGAAACCAGTCAACGCACAGCCCGGGCTGTTTTTGGTATTTTTATATCATTTTCACAAAATCAAACAAACGCAATGACCAAGTCTCACCAGACCAGAACAAGTCAAGCGAAAGAACAAATAGAGCAAAGAATAACCTAGCAAGGTCCCAGGAACCCGCCACATAATAACACATCTACCGACGAACGACAATCCCCTGACGACGAACAGCGTTACGAGCACGGGAGTACTCCTCATCACTCTCATACTCAGACTCAGAGCAGCTATCATCCGAAGACTCGACGTATCCACAGCGCGAACCACCACAGTCAAGCTTAACACGGTCACCCTTGCGGGTGATACCGTAGCGCTCGCAGCGACAGTGGACAGGCGGCTCACTCATAGACGAGAGCGAGGAAGGCGAAGTCGAGCCCGACGACGACCGCGACGAAAGAGATGACCCCGCAGAGCTGGGCGGGCTGTTCGAGTACGAGTACTCATCTGACAGACGGGAGCCCGCGAAGCGACGGGTGAGGTCGTCGACGGTTGGAGCGAAGTCTGCTTCGCGGAGTTGGCGGGAGGCGTAGTGCTTTGTTGGCTTTGGGTGCTGGATGCGCGAGGGGGACAGGGCGCGGCCCGTGGCAATGTTACCGCGGCTGGTCTTTGGTGCGGATGATCGGGTGCTGGGCTTGCCGCCGGGAACATCGAGGATGTTGAGCTTGCGGCCGGTGGTGGGCTCCACGGTGTATTCGACGGCTGGGTCGTGCGATACGTGGTACCCGTCCATCATGTAGTAGTACCAGTAGCGGCCTCCGAGTTGGAGCATTGAGGTCTGGAAGCGGAACTTGCCGACCCAGGCGCCGGGCTTTTCTTCGCTGGAGAGCGGGATCTGACGTTGGTAGTTGTCCCATGAACCGACCAGGTGGACGGTCTTGACGTTGGACGAGGTCCGGAGGGAGAACTTGAGTTGAACGGCGGCCATGACGAATCAAATGTAGACACAAAAAAATTGGAATTTAAAAAAGTTGTCGGTGCAAAAGATCAAGAGTATCGTATAGAGCTAGAACAACCTAAAACTACCGGAGTTTTGGATTGTCAAAGTTGATTGGGAAATATTGGACTCTTTGTTGATCTTTGGGGAACCGGTCCGACAAAGAAAAGAAGAATAATCGAGCGAGATTATATTAAAAGTTGAGTTTGTTGTAGATATTCTGTTGAACAGCGAAATCAAGTCGACCGGCGACAAGTAAAACTGTTAATAGTTGTAAAATTCGAGGGAAATCCGTAGCAAGGCAGAATCTCAAAGAGCACAGCTCGTTTGAGAGTAAAAAGAGTAAAAAAATTAGAATAGTATAGAAGATAAAGAAAGAAAAATAGGCCCAGGCAACCAGTGCTCAGGATCACTCGAATATGGCAGATAAACACAACAAACGCTCGCTGAAGAAAAAAAAAGAGAGAAGAAATCCGCCTTGAGGTGGCTATGGCATTCTTTTAAGCAGGTCGATTCGATCAGCAGTGCAGAATCCATACTGGAGGTGAGCGGGTAATTGACGATGTTGGTTGGTTCGATGCAGGTTGGACTGTGATGTGCTGCCCTCCTGGCCGTGGCCAATGACTGACCGGGATTTAACGCTGGTGCTCGGACCAGAAGAGGAGAGAGTTTTGCTGTACGGAGTACGAAAGGGCCATTGTCCAAGCAGCTTTAGAGATTAGAAGTCTGAAGAAGTTGTCAGCCTCATTAATTGTGGAGGGAGTATGTGTTGTCATGTCTAGAGTTTGTGAGGTGAGGTGAGCCTTGGAGGGTCGATAGCCGAGATGAGATCGGACCCTCTCAACCCCTCATCTTCGTACGATGTTGTAGATAGGTTCTGGAGGTATGGGGGAATGACCAACACAGAGACCTGGTAAAATTAAAGACCTGATTTCAAAAGGATGCTGGTGTGTGTTAATGTACTCCCCGAGATTAAAATATCCGAGTCAAGGACGTCACGGTCCTTCCTAATTAAAAATCCGCCAAGACTAAGACGCGGGATGAGATGCATTAGGCCCTATTCAGTCAGAGATAGGTCTGCCCAGGTTAATTGGACAGGGATGATTGACAAGGATGAACATGGACGTTCGAGGACGATGATTGTGCCATGTGGAAGTGCCGACTTTCCCTTTCCGCCTTTTCGGCATTTGACTCTGTCACCTCCTCTCTGCCTTTGTCTTCTTAATCTTCTTTCTCTCTTTCTCTCTTTCTGAGATCAAAAAGAAAGAAAGAAAAAAAAAAAAAAAAACAGACATTTCAGTAAAGAACATGCGACCGGTGGATGTCCTTATTTCTCTAATTGGTTCAATCCTTCAATCCTTCTGCAACGGTCAAGGTGGATAAAATATATTAAGGACAAGGGGGCAATCGTAAGGCCGTTGGTCGATCCATGAGACACTTGAAGCACTAAAGCTGGAAAGAGCCATGTATCCGTCTGGACCCTTGAAGGGTTCTTTTGTTTGATGGGTTCTTTTGTCTTTTCAGTCCACACAACGTCTTAAATAATGGAGTTCTTGTCTCGTATCTTCGAAATTGCACTTCCTTTCTTTGAGTACTTTTAGTTATGGACCAATCAATCGAGATTGTAAGTGAATTCTTTATAATCCGATTGATAGGAATCTAATATCAATAGGATCCGGTTTACTATGACCATGGACGTGACGACTATGTAGATAGTGACTTTGCTTCGTGGGTATACACACTAGGCTACTATCGATCATTCTAACCTAGACTGCAGTGAAACAACCTCTCTATCATCATCCGTCTATCGGGGAGTGTTTGAGAATGGAAGACGGTATGCATATGTTCGAATCTACCGAGGTCGAGTATTGACAAGATATCAGCTATCAGACTGTGAGGGAGGGTGCATCTTGGTACGTACCCCAATATCAACTCAACTATATGCCTTCTAATATTCCTCCAGGTGTCCATCTGACGAGCAACAATTTGAGAGTTTAGAGGCAGGGTGAGTTTATGATACCACTACACTAACACACACATACACACACCTACTAACTTAGTCAGCCATCTGCTGTGTATACTCCTAGACGCCGATACCGACAATCCACTCTACCAGGCACCACTGGAAGACCCCAAGGTATACACATACGCCCAGAAACAACAGAACCATAAAAGCCCCCACTGACCAAATGCAAGCAAATCCTGGATATCGGCACAGGCCGAGGCAACTGGGCCATGTAAGAGCACAACTTCCCCAACCCAAGAACACCGACTGACAAAATACAGCGATGTAGCTGACATATTCCCAAATGGCAAGCAAATTCATCCACACATATATCCTCATGCCACACAGACAGCAAGCTAACCAAACCAAGCAACCGTCAGAGGCGTAGACCTCTTCCCCCACCAGGAGACTGGCTCCCTCCAAACTGCATCATGGAAGTCGACGACGTCCTACAGGAATGGACCTGGCGACAGCCCTTCGACCTAATCCACATGCGCCAGCTAATAGGCGCCTTCACGCCCGTTGAATGGGACTGTCTATTCGCCCAGTGTTACAAGTAAGTCTAGTCCATCTCCCCTCATCTCAGCACTCAATATCAACCACAATCCTCCCTGCTCTCTGAATACCAATCTAACACCAAAGTAACAGAAACCTAATCCCAGGCGGCTGGATCGAACAAGTAGAAGGCGACCCCCGAATCCACTGCTCGGATTCCAGCATGTCCCCAGACTCAAGTATGGTCCAGTTCACCCAAGCGGTATTCCGCGCAGGACAGGAATGGAACCACCCCATCGACACACTGGACACGATGCGTGCTGCGATGGAAAAGGCTGGTTTTGTTGATATCCATGAGAAGTCGTATAGGTGGCCTGTTGGTCCGTGGGCGCGTGATCCTACACTTAAAGAAGCGGGGAGGTTGCATTATCATCAGTGGACGGCTGGTATGGAGGGTTGGGCCATGTATCTTCTCACTAAGTTTGGGGTTCCGACGCCGTGGACGAAGGAGGAGGTGTTGATTTTGTTGGCGAATGTTAGGAAGGAGTTGCAGGATCCGCATATTCATATGTGGCAGTATGCGTGAGTTCCCCCCTTTTGACTATGATGGAGTTGAGCTAACGTTACATAGGAGGAGAGTTTGGGGGAGGAAGCCTACGGCAGAAGAGGAGGAGGGAAAGGTGAAGAGTGAAGATACTGATGTTAAGTACCCTGCCATGTAGTCTGAGTTATTGTTAAGATCTATAGTTAGGGTAGGATAGGATCAGAAGCACACAATGTATTGTATTGTTGGTTGTTGCTGTTGTTGTTGTTAATGTTACAGATACTGGAGGAGAGATCTAAACTATGTAATCCAGACGCGGCTGGAGATTACACTCGGCCAAAAGATCATAGGGACAATCGGAACCTCCGATTGTCACTGCAGCGGTATATATACTATAGGCCCCTTAGCTAGGTGGAATGCAAATCTAGAGGCTGATAATCCATTTGTTGAATGCTGTCCAACGTGGTAAGTATCATAATAACCATGTAGAGCAAGCTGTTGGGATAAGAGAGAAGAATCTTGCTTGTTGAACTAGATGTATAGATCAACTGTGCCTGCTAGGTAACGAAACAGTCGTTTGAGAGCCTGTTTATGTTGAATACCTGGGTCTCTAGTACATTTTGCTAGCTAGATTGCTGCATATGAAATGTCACCTTTAGTAGTTACTATCAACTAGATAACCTTGCCTATCTTCTCTTGGTAGAGCTTATATTCGGCAGGCATTATAGTTGTAGTTGATGAGACTAATAGGTCTTTCTCATTGAACGGGGTAGCAACTGGCTTGTTTGCTTTGTATGCTATATTGCTAGAGAAGCGAAGTAATAAATTTCCTCTGCGGGAGAGCAATTGTAGATCCGTCGGTTGTAGATCTACTAGTTGCAGATATACTGCTTTCTTCGAAGGTGTAAGAATTAAGATATTACCAAGGTGCCTAAGCACGTAACTAGGCACCTTCGCAGGCTATTTGACTCACACTGAATGATCCGTATAAACTCGTTGGAAGCCTATTGACAATAGGCCGTTATGAAGAAGCATGCACCACTCCTGTGGGCTTTGCTCTAGGCCATAAACAGACTTTATAAGAGTCATGTTCTCGTGCAATTGTTGGAGATCTAAAGAGATCCTCGCTTGAATTTGCTTCGTTTTTCTGCAATTTGCCTCGCTCCGCCAGCTGCCCGATTTTCTGCTGGCTCAGTATAAATCGATTCCTTGGTGTCAGCACTAAGAAATGCAGTTTTGACATCAATATAATGGAGGAACCAATTCAGTGCGGCGGCAATTGTATAGAAGACTTTGAACGAGATAGGCTTTGCCACAACGGCATCAACCTTATGAAAATCGACATCCTTAATCTGATTGAAGCCTCGAGCAACAGGACGTTCTTTGTACCGACCATCGCCCTTCTTACTATCGAACACCCTACTGAGGGTAAGCGGTTTCCGCATTGTCTTGTTCGATTTGCGATCAACTACTCTCCATGTGCTGTTCTTGATCTGGGCTTTTAGCTCAATGTGGGCTGCAGCTAGCCATTTCCCACGTTCCACACAATTCATGGCATCCACCCAACCATTAGGTGTGTAGCCAACATCTTGTGGGGTCAATTTGTTGTTGATGGGAGGGCTTTTATCGTTATCCTTGCCTTCCGTGACAGCTGTAAAGACAGACGCAACAACGTCATTTATCTCATTTGCAAAGAGTGCAGTTTCAGATGGGTCTAGATTAGCACAATGCAGCTATGTGTTCTAGCATTGCACGGCTTGGCTTTCGAATGCGGGTAGATCGACGAAGTGGTTGAGATATTCAACCTGATCAGATTGTTGTCCATTGGACTGAGCTCCCTGGGGTTGCATTGATTCATGCAGGAGAAGAGATATTAAACAGTTATGTGTGTTTACCTGTTGTAATTATTGTGAAGAATATAAGGTACTGATCTTGAATGTCGAGATGAGCAGGAAATGATCACTTTTCGAGTGACATCACGACATGCGGAGGGGAACATAGTAGATCAACCCAAACGGAACCATGATTGAATTTGTGAGGGTCGTTCGGATTGCATAGAAGGTCCAACGTCCCGTTCATCGAACGACTCGGGCAGAGACATTTGGTTATCGCGGACATCTTTTCGGGCAGGACTGACGGGGATTTCACACAGCAAACTTATACCGCGAATCACTTTCTCCCAGTGGTCTATAACGTATCTAATCCGGAATCCAAGGCGAGAGCGGCTTTCCGTGCAGATCCTAGATGCCTCACGACATGATTCTGGATTCAAAGCGGGGAGATCAATTAGTTCTGTCAATATCGCTCCAAAGTGAAAGGGTGATTGGGGAAATGGAGAAAAAAAGGAAAGTAAAAAAGGAAGCTTACCTGACCAGGGAGGAGGTCTAGTCAAGACCCAGCGTGAAAAAGGTGCGAAGATTCTAATGCACGTTGATTTCTACGGTGCTGTTGAGACCAAGAAGGAAGAACTGAGATATATAGGAAGCAAGGTATATAGATAGTTGTAGATGATGAATATACCAACCACCGTGGAGCTCTTTTATAGTCCATGGGGACAAAGAGAGATCTGACTAACCAGAGGCAAGCACCTGGGAACCTGGGCAAACAAAGCTTCGCTTCCTTGTTGCCTTATGTCTGTGCATTAGATTCTTACTATCCTCCAGATATAACGTTCGGTTAAAGCTAGCTAGCTCGTAAATTAAACTGACCTACAAGTGTGCAATTCTTACCACTTGCCCCAATAAGGGCTCAGCTCGCTTCGTATCCGTGCTCAGCGGCGTCGTGTAGTCGAGCTCTCGACCAAGAACCAGAAGCATTCTTATTAGCGTCCGCGTTAAGTAGTAGCCCCGTGGCCATTTCCCCCGTGCTTTGCGGGGGAATACTGCATTATATACGGCAACACAGGCGGGGTTTGCGTCTGTCATGAAACTTCTGATAGAGGAAATTGATATCAATTCCAAGGGCTTCGATGGCCTGACCCCTCTGCATTTCGCGGCGATGAACGGACACAGACCAGTGGTGGAGGTGCTAGAACGTGCCAATGTCAAATTCTAATCCATCGCGGTGCGGCAGTCAACGCGCAAGACGATCGAGTCAATTGACACCCCTTCATCTCGTGGCGATATAGCTTGGCTGGACACCAGCTACTCCCTGGGAGTTTCACCTTCTCGATGTCCTTTTTCTCCCTGACAACATTTCACCTAGTTTGAAACCTAGGCACATGCATTTCTTGGTCGATCCACTTTGGATAACACTTCAGAGGTCTTCTTGCTTGTGAGTCTAAATGTCTAAGGTGAGAAGAGACGTCTATACTTCGGACAATCACGGTGCCGATCCGAGGATTAGTCATCAATGAGTCAGCATATGTTCGACTTCAACCAATTTGTCCCTTATGATGAGTGTCCGAATAACGACGTGAGAAAAGGCCAGGCGTTCATCTAGTCATCCGAATTTTGGTGCAAATAAGATAAAAATCGGAACAAGCGCTTATATCGAGCCCGGTTGAGTTGTATTTCATTTCCTCAACTCCCGATAGGAGTCACCTTCAACCCGCCCTGCGACCGACTCCAAAATGGCACATGGTGCAGAGGACTGCGCAACTGTCCTAGAGCAGTTCGTCCACGATGTGGCGAATCTTCCAGCTGAGATTAACCACCTAATGGAGGAAATCCAAGCCAAGGACAAGGTTATGCAGGAGTGTCGCGCCACAATCAATTCTCGCGACAGCAGCATCCAGAAATTCATCAAACTGAACGGCAGTCTGACACCGAACCCCAAGGAAGAGCCATACAGCAAGACCGTCTTACAGAATATGGACAGATCTCATGAACTGCAGAACGAGAAGATCCAGCTCAGCGAGAAGGCATGTGTCCTCCTTGATCGTCAGATCAAACGACTCGATGTGCGCATTCGCGATCTAGTCAACGAAGGCCTCCTCACCAACGACCCACCCCTCCCTTCCCTCTTCGACTCAAAAAACAAATACAGAAACCCACCCAAGATCTTCCTCCCTGACTCCACCCCTACCGACACCCCCGCCTACTCAACGCCCCTCAACCCGACTTCCGGGAATGCGAACCCCATCCTGGCTGCTGCGCAGCGCTTGAACCAATCCACAACTCCTCGCGTCACCAGCTCCGCAGCCCAGCTCGGACAAACCACAGCACGCAACTCTGCACCGGCTACTCCAGCAGCAGCAGCTGTCGTACACCTCCAGCAACGTCAACGCGAATCCTCTGCCGGGGCTGTGGACAGCAAGCGTCGCCGCTTGAACCCATCCCTCAACACCCTCCCCGTAGCCTCCTCGAACCTCCGTCAGTCCTCCATGGGCCCTGGTACACCGAAGCCTGGTACACCGGCAGGTAGTCGTGCAGGAAGTGCCGGCCCCCGTGCTAGCATCGGCATCAAGAAGGCACTGACCAAGAAAGTCGCGCCGCACCAGCAAGTCAAGAAGCTGAAAACTGCGAGCGGAAAGCCGATCAAGCGCTCTTCCAGTGCTAGTGGTCGTATTAAGATTTCGAAGAAGTCTCCTAATGGAGAAGGCGATGAGGATGATGACTCCATGCTCAGCAGTGCTGATACGTCGGACTCCGACAAGAGTGATGGTGCTGCTGATGAGGATGTCGACGATGAGGATGAGGATGAGGGTAATGAGGATTCGAAGGTCTATTGTACCTGTCGCACTGTCAGTCATGGGGACATGGTGGCTTGCGACAATGACGAGTGTCCCTATGAGTGGTTCCACTGGAAGTGTGTTGGATTGACGCGCGAGCCGGTTGGGACTTGGTATTGTGATGAGTGCAGACGTACTCTGGGCAAGTGATTCTATGCTCTCTTCTTTTTTTCTATGATCTGTATGACGGTTGATATACCCATTGGCGTTTGAGGGACTTTTATGGTGTTGGGCTGGACTGGACTGGACAAAAAGATATCTACTTGTTACTAGTTTTACTGCGTAATTCAAATTTGTCTAAACGGAATCAATTTCATATTCTGTCTATTCGAGACAAAAACTGTCACTAATCCCCGAGAGAAAATGAAACCAGGAAGCATATATTCCCTCCCCTAGGTATCCATCCATTCCCAGCTACAGCCAAGCGTATGTCCAAGCCGTGCACATCCAGCGCCCAATATTCCCTGGGTCACCAGTGAGCCGGAGCCTAACCAAATCAAGTCGAAAACGCCATCGCTATGCACATATCCCCTTTTTTTGTTTCTTCCATGCAAAACATGTTGGCACACGGGCGCACACAGTACGCCGAAAGTCAGAAATCAGATATTCGTGGAAAAGCTATTGCCCGCCTGTCCACTTAGAACCCAAGCCCGTTGCTCAGCCACGGGTCGAAGTACTCGCAGGTCTCGGGGCTGACTGCGCCGCCTGGTGCGCACAGCTTAAAGACTGGGCATTGGCCGCAGGGGGCTTCCGTCATGCCGTTCTTCACAAGATGCTTGTTTGCAACAGAGAGATCGTCGCCTTCGACGGGCGGCTTGCGGGATTGGGTCGCTTTGACAGCCTCAGGACTCTTGAGGGATCTGTACCATTCGCCGTTTCCTAATGCGACGAGCTTGTTGTCGTAGCAGAGCATTTCGAGGAGTTGCACGACGCTCTCTTCGCCTAGGCGGACGGGAGTAATGCCACTGTCATTGACGGCCGTGGTGATCTCCGCCACGGTCGGGTATCCTGCGTAGCCGTGGGGGTAGGGGAGGTAGGTTTTCTCGTCGGACTTGACGTCTGCCTTGCCGGAGGCGGTTTTGATGCGTTTGTTCTTTCGGTCTGAGGCCGGAACTTCGAACCAACTCTTCCGGCTCACGGTGTACTCGATGTAACCTGCGACACTGTTGATGAAGCTGGCGTCCAGTACACCGTCCGTGAACCAGGCTCCTCCGGTTACTTCTTCGCTCGGAGCAAGCCCGGCCAGCATGTACATCTTGCGGCTAGGGTATTTGACATTGTGGAGGGATTTGATGTAATTTTTTCCCTTCGAGGGCTTTCAGACATCGGTCGAGGATCGACTTGTGCAAGTTCGTGCGATTTCCGATGTGCCGCACCCAGATACCTGTTCGTTCTGTGGAGTGGATGACATTGTAGACCATGGCCTCGTCCGGGGTGAGGTTGCGGAGCCTGAAAGGGAGGAGGGGTTAGTTATGTGGTTTTATCGACACAGAGATGCATGCGATTCCTACTTTTCAGCATCCTCGCGGTCAATAAGCTTCCACGTGAGCTTTCCATCTTTTGGAGGAGTCGAAAGAGATTTTGATTGACGAGGCTCTGTGTGCATTCTAGCAGGAGCGCAACGTCGTTCTTTGGGATCACTTTGAGATTGAGGAAATCGTTCTGATAGAACAGGTGATCGGAGTCAAATTCATTCACGCATGCATCGTAAAGCTTAGAGGCAAGCTCGGCCACTTGGGACCCCGCGGAGGCCATTGTTGGAGATGCGACGGAGATATCAGGCAAAATCAAGGTTCAGTCGAAGGGGCTCGTGGTTTTTCATGTTCAAGGGAGTGTTCTAGAGGCCAAGGAGTAGGTTAGAGGACCATGGTGTGTCGATGTCGGTAAATTTTGAGTCACGAATGGATCACAAATGGTGTTTTTTTGGCGACTTTTTCTCGGCGGGGACTGACTTTGACCTAAAAGGGTTTAGCCTCGCGGAGCTTCAATGTCAGCGTTAATGCCTGAGGTGTCTGTTGCCTGAGGCTTAAATTAAATTAAATTCTGCCTGAGGCAGTAGACTCCAACGGAAATTTCGAGAAGCTCCGGCCCATTGAGCTCATGACCTCAGCACTTCCAGTTCCTCGTAGTCTTGTTTTTGATCTGCATTACTCCTTTTTTTGAGCAATTTAGCATATCACTCGAAAATGGCCGACGCTTTGAAGGCAGAGGGCAACAAGGCCTTCTCTGCTAAGGACTATTCCACTGCTGTGTATGCGCTACCCCACCTTTTTAACATATGATTCTGTCAAAGCAGAGACTGATAAAAAACCCCAGCGAGAAATTCTCCCAGGCCCTTGCCATCGAACCCGAAAACCACATCCTCTACTCCAACCGCTCCGCTGTCTACAGCGCCCAGGACGAATATCAAAAAGCCCTCGAAGATGCCGAGAAGGCGATCGAGATCAAGCCCGATTGGTCCAAGGGCCATGCCCGCAAGGGTGCTGCGTACCGCGGTCTCGGAGATCTTTGTATGTTATTCTAGTTGCACACAAAGTGGTGGAATAACCTGCATTGTGACAAGGTGCTAACTGACAGCAGTGGCTGCGCACGATGCCTACGACGAGGCCCTGAAGATCGAGCCTGGCAACGCACAGGCTAAGTCCGGTCTGGAGGCAACCCAGCGCGCCATCAACGCGGAGGCTACCGCAGATGGTGTCAGCGGAGACCCAACAGGAGGTCTCGGTGGCATGTTCAACGACCCGGCTCTGTTCCAGAAGCTGGCCAACAACCCCAAGACCGCCTCCCTGCTGGGAGATGCTGAGTTCATGGCTAAGCTGCAGAAGATCCAACAGAACCCTAACAGTGTTGGAGAGGAGATCCGCGACCCCCGCTTCCTGCAGGTCATGAGTGTGCTTCTCGGTATTGATATGAACTTCGGTGGTGAGGGAGCCGAGCCTCCTGCCCCCGCTGCTACCCCTAGCACCTCGCAGCCCAAGAAGGAGCCCACCCCGGAGCCCGAGCCAGTCGACGAGGAGACACTCGCCAAGAAGCAGGCCAAGGAGGCTGCTGATGCCGAGAAGAAGATTGGAAACGATTTCTACAAGAAGAAGCAGCTCGATGAGGCCATTGAGCACTACACCAAGGCCTGGGACCTCCACAAGGACATCACCTACTTGAACAACATCGGTGCCGCCAAGTTCGAGAAGGCCGATTACGAAGGCACAATCGAGACCTGCCAGAAGGCCGTCGAGGAGGGACGCGACTTGCGTGCCGACTTCAAGCTGATGGCCAAGTCCTACACCCGAATTGGTTCTTCATACGAGAAGCTCGGTGACCTCGCCAAGGCCATTGATTTCTACAACAAGTCGCTCATGGAGCACCGCACCCCTGATACCCTGACCAAGCTTCGCAATGCCGAGAAGACCAAGAGCACCGCCGAGAGGAACGCCTACATTGACCCTGCCGAGGCCGAGAAGGCCCGCGAGCTCGGCCAGCAGAAGTTCCAGGAAGGTGACTGGCCCGGTGCCGTTGACGCCTTCACCGAGATGACCAAGCGTGCCCCCGAGGACCCCCGTGGTTACTCCAACCGTGCCGCCGCCCTCATCAAGCTGATGGCATTCCCCGGTGCCGTGCAGGACTGTGACGAGGCCATCAAGCGCGATCCCAAGTTCATCCGCGCGTACATGCGCAAGGGTGCTGCCCTGATCGCCATGAAGGAACACAACCGTGCCCTGGATACCTTCACCGAGGCCGCCGAACACGATGACGGCAAGCACGCTCGCGAGATCGAGCAGCAACAGCAGAAGTGTCTGGACGCCCAGTTCAGCGCTCGTGCTGGTGAGACCGAGGAGCAGACCATGGCTCGTATCCAAAATGACCCCGAGGTAAGATCTGCTATGCTCTAGATAGGATTATGCATGAAGTATACTAACATTGTTTTCTAGATCATGGCTGTCCTCCAGGACCCTGTTATGCAGAGCATTCTCCAGCAGGCTAAGAGCGATCCGGCTGCGCTGCAGGAGCACATGAAGAACCCGCAGGTCCGGATGAAGATTCAGAAGCTGATGGCTGCTGGTGTTATCCGCATGGGACGGTAAATGCTTTGAGGGGTGTAGAGCATTCGAGGGAATTGAATACGAATTGACACGATATATCTTGACCAGCATATTTTTTAGTTCCATATTGCTAAAATTCCATTCTGCTTACATGCACTGCACTTCCTAACAATATTAATAGTGTGGTAGTATCTAGAGTGTGTGTGTCGACTGCTGCAATTGCTGCAAATACCGTGTGTAACATTGTAATTGTTTAAGTCGGAAGTATATCAACCAGTTCTCGTGAATATATGTCTCAGCCAGAATTGAATTGTACAATATATAAAAGCAAACTACGGAATACTCCGTACCAGTCCCGATATTAATTCATGTCTAACCTCGGCCATAGCTATAGACTATCTCTGGGCCATTCGTAAGCTGAAAAAGTGATATCGAAAAAGAAAAACGCCACATGAGTGGGGGAGTTCCAGAGAAGATCTTACCGAACTACTTTATCGAACCAATCAACATCCTCATTTTTGGCTTTTGTAGTACAAAACTTACAATAATACGGAATACACAATACACACAGTGAAAATAACCTCTCAGAAGGGATCAGGGACCAAGAGTCTAGATGTCCACAGATGATATGATAGATCAATTAATGCAGACTTGGGTTGTCTATCACTACCTAGGTATTACAATATACGGAGTAGTTAACTAGTCCAAATCTACTTTTAGTCTGGATATTATTGTACTATATACGATTTACGTTATGAAGTACTGTACTCCGTATGTTGTACTACGGAGTACGGAGTACGGAGAAGAAGTTCCTCGGTAAAGAAAATCCAGTCTCCATATCCAAACCTGGTGGATCGAGCTATGGCCGATCTACCTAATCGGGTATAGGGTACTATGTGACCAGGTTTTTTTTTTTGCATTCTGGATGCATGCCACGTGTACCTCGAGATTGTTGGTTTTCGAAATACTTTGGTACTTTGGCAATTACAACATACCAGACGATATACGGAGTACTCCGTACGGAGTACTAGTACAACATACAGAGGGTAGGCGCCCAGATTCCCTCAAATGTAGCATATCTCGTTGCCTAGAGTGGCAGGGCTGGGAGGGCTGGGATAATCACAGCCACTTAAAGAGTATGGAGTATCCGTACATCGAGACGAATAAAAGGGGGAAGCCAAGAATTAATTTCGAACCCTAAGAAGATCCGTAAGGACTCTGTACTCTGTACCGTGGAAAAAAGAATTATTGACCCTCTTTATCGCTCTTCATCCTTCTTCATTGACCCTCTATTTGACCCTCTGTGGCGGTGCTGAAAGCTCGGGTCCAAATCTAATAGTCGGAGTTTAGTCAATTACTCTTACTCACTCCCCTGATCCTCAATTAACATTCTATATGAACAATTGAATAGATACAGAGTACGGAGTACCCTCTACAACTATATATAAACTAGCATACTCATTGACTTATACCCTCATAGGTAGATCCAAGAATAGTACTAAAATGAAAGGAATCTGATCCAGGGCCCCCCCGGCGTACGTCACTGATCTTCGATCGACCTCGAAGCTCACGATCTCCCCTTTTTTTACTCTTTTCTTTCTTTTTTATTGGGCTTTGAAATTATAGACAAAGTAAAATAACTAATATAAATCATAATTTACATATAAGGTATGTAATGGTAATAGTCCATGTATCGTAAGAATTCCAGCCACAGTTCCCCTTGACGCAAGCGGCTGGGCAAACAGCTGTGCCTCTTGGTACACTCCTCTTTTTTTCCTTCTCTCTTTCTTTCTCTCTGTAAATCAAGGACTTCGTACCTTGATATACAATAAACACAGGTAACCCCTCCGACTACGACCTCCACACCCTATTCCAGTACGTTACTCAGCTGTAGACTGTATGCGAGTCAGCATTCTTCCCCTCCCCCTCCCCCCAATCTGCCCACCCATGGATCCAATCTGACCATCTCCAGCACTTCCCCGGCTCTCCAATTCCCCCGACCTGAACACAACAACCAACCGGCGATATGGCGTCCGCCGACGCGGAAAACACAGCGAACAAGATGGAGGGTACCATCGAGACTGCCCAGGAATTGCAAACGGACCCGCAGTCACACGTTAATCCGGATATCGTCGAAGAAAAAGTCGTCAAGGAAGCCCAACAAGCTGGTGGTGCTGCATACCAATTCGACCCCGATGCCTCGCCCGAAGATAAGGCCAATGCTGCCAAAGGAGTGCGTGTCCTCTAATGTCCGAGTTTCGTTTCGGCGCAATCACCGTGCTAACTGCTGTATCGTTCTTCTAGCGATTGCCGCCTGATTTCCACCACCCCCATAAACCCAAGGGTGTTGCTGTAGTTACGGACAAGGTGAGAATCACTGGGTCTCTCGAATGCGATCGCAATTTCCATGCTAATTCTACTTAGAACGATGGCAAAGCAGACTATGAGCTCCCTCCACCGGAGTCTGCGAACGCAATTATGGCCGAGGAAGCCACACGAGAGAGTGAGGGTAAGCCCCTCGATGAGGATATGCGATGGGCGCGCGATAGAACGGGTTGGGCGCCAAAGT